AGTATTATAATAAATTTCATTTATTTATTAATGTGTTTAACAATGCCTGCTTTAAGCTCTACACAGCACTGGAAATACATCAAACAATATTAATGATATGCTACTGAAAAAGTACATGAAAGAGAAGGGCCTTCTTTTACCAGGATGGCTCGCTTTTCACAGGAAATTGCTTGTATTTCACCTGGACAATGCCCTAGGGCAGAATTTTTTTGAATCCTCCTTTGCTTCAGGAGACTTTTAGGTTGGTGCTTACTGGATAGTCAACGGTTTAGTAAACTTGCCAGTACTAGAAGGGGACCCAGTTCTACCTTTCCGTGAGGACTGAGTGGTCCTGTTGAACAGTAAAGGCCACACTCAGACTATTCAGCTGATTTGACGCCGGATGTGATTAGCTTTCTTTCCCTTTCCCTCAGAACAGTAATGACTGTGTGTCCTCTCACGAAATGTAAAGTCATAGTTTTGTTAGTTAAATGTGGGGACACAGCTGGGAGGGGTTTTGAGTGAAAGGGTTCTTGTCTTCAGACATCAGAAACCATAACTTATTTTGTTTACTGACTTTCAGAAGAGGGAATATTTTTGTCATTTTATTTTTTATTAGTACATGTTTCCAATGTGTCTCAAGGTACATCCGTTTACCTAAAAATGTCTCAAGTTTATCCTTGTCGATGGCCTAATAGTACTCCATTATATAGAAGTACTACATTTGCTTGATCCATTCATCCACTGATGGGTATATGGGCTACTTCCAAGAATTAGCTATTATAAATTGTGCTGCTATAAACATGGGTATGAATATATCACTGTGGTATGGTGACTTATCCCTTTTGGGAAGATACCTGGAATGGGCAAGTTGGGTCAAATGGAACCTCCAGTTTTAGTTTTCTTGAGGAATCTCCATATTGACTTCAATAGTGGTTGCACCAGTTTACATGAAAGGTTTCTTTTCCCCGACAGCCTCCCCTGCATTTGTTATTGGTTGATTTCTTGATGATAGCCATTCTTTCTGGAGGCAGGATCTCAGTGTGATTTTAATTTGCATTTCTCTCTCTCTCTCTCTCTTTTTTTTTCCAGTACCAGGAATCGAACTCACGACTTTGTGCTTGCCAGGCAGGCGCTGTGCCACTGAGCTAAATCCCCAGCCCCTTAATTTGCATTTCTCAAATGGCCAGAGATGCTGAACATTTTTTCATGTATTTATTTGCTGTTTGTTCTTCATCAGAGAAGTGTCTACTGAAGGAGGAATCTTTTTTTTTTTTTTCCTCCGGTACCGGGAACCGAACTCACAACCTTGCGCTTGCCAGGCAGGCGCTTTGCCGCTGAGCTAAATCCCCAGCCCCCCTGAAGGAGGAATCTTGATCTTCCCTGTAGCTGGTCTTTGTACACCGTGTGCCTTCCCTTGCTGATGTTCATGTGACAGAGTTTCGGTGCATCTGAATGTATTCACCTATTTAAATAGAAAGTTAAAATGACAGAGAAAAGCATTTGTATTTCTATGGACACAAATTTTTGCAGTGTTAAAATGGAGTAAATTGTCTTCCTAATTATTGGGTGGCTAATAATTCCACCCAAGAAAGATGCCATGGGGTGGGGGGGGACCACCCCTATTCCTCCAAACTACACCACTGCTATGTTTTATTTTTCTGTTGTTGATATTACATGTTTACTTAAATTTTAACGTCTTTCCTAACGTTAACAAGGAGATTGTTTTTTAGTGAGATCAATTTGATTTTGTGAGTAAAAATAACTAAAATGACTATTTATGATTTTATTTAGAAGCTTTGTGGCACTGGGGAGCCCAGGACCCATGTCTGACATTTCCTTCTCCATCAGCAATCACTGTGGTGTGACTGCATCTGAGTCCCAAGGCTCTAACTTCTATGGTGCCAACTTAAATATATGCTTTCGCTGGTCCTGAGACTTGTCTTCTACTTCAGAATTGCATGTCCAGCTGTATGCTTGATGTAGCTGTTTAAAACCCTAAGCAACCACCTCCAATTTAGCATTTTTACACTGAACTCCTGATTTCCCTTACCCTATAATCAATACTTGTAGCTTTCGCCATTCTGTTTCAGTCCAAAACCTTTTAGCACTGTCACTTTTCTTTCCTCTGACTCTTCACATCTAGTCCATCAAGGACTCCTACAGAAAATATCCAGGACTGTACCTTTTTGTCACCTCCCTCACCCAAGCATCACCCTTTCCTGGCTCCTGTGAAAGACTCTGACTGGTCTGTCACGCCAAGGAGTCACAGCAAACGGGTTTAAGGTTTAGGTCCGATCACTTCACAACTTACCTGTGTCATTGGCCTTTCACGACTTCCTCAGAATAGCGGTTGGAAGCTAAAAGATTTTGTAAAACATCTATAAACAAACGTCTGTGCATATAGCGTGATGCCTTCATTCATCCCGTGAAAAGAATTGTGCTTCCCAGACATTTATCACAGAGCTGTTGGTGAAAGAAAGGGAAATGGAGACAGTGTATTTGCCCACAGGAGCATTAATTCCATAAATTATGATGAAATTATAATGCGAGCCTTTCATATATGTTGTTAAATACGTGGAAATTCCTATAAGCAGAGAAAATAACCTACAACAGTGTAAGGTGTGGTATTTCGGTAAGAAGACCATGTTTACATCCTCTGGATAACAATTCTGTTTGCTTTTCTTAGACTTTTTAAAATTTTAAAGTACATTTAGCTTACTCTTCTAACAATATTTAGAAGCTAAAATATAAATGGCACAGAATGTTTTTTAAAAATTTAAACCAAAATTGTTACAATTGTTTCACTCAGATTTACTTGTTTTCAGAACGTTTTATTGAAGAGGAAGGTTTGTCTTGGAATCTTGAAAGAGTGTTGACAAAATGCAGGCAAAAGCTTCTACCTTTCCTTGCACGCAGGTTGCTGCTGCATACAGCTGCGTCTTGGGGGACACTTCTCCAATAGCAGAAATTCTTGCTTGAGCTTGAAGAAGATGTGAAAGAAAAGATACACACTGTAGTGGATTGATAACTGGTGGTCAACTTATAACCCCCAGCTGAACTGAGTGAGTGGTGCTGGGTGTACCCACCTGAGGACTGTTGCCAGCAGCATAAGAGGCAGACCTGGAGGAGAAAAAGCAGGCTGTTGGGAACTGAGAGAGGCTGTTGGGAGCTGAGAGAGACCGTGGGGAGCTGGCTTTCCGAAGAACTTGGCTGTTTTCATCCTCTGAGGAGCTCGGGACCTGGCTGGCACTGAGAATGGCTTCAGTTCACTTTGGGGAGCTCTGGTCCTCACTTTGAGCATAGCTTCCTGGTTCCAGAGGGGAAGATGGTGCACTGCCAGCCTCCAGGAAAGGCTTGCTGCGTTGGCTTCCCTGATGGGAACTTGGCCATCCTGATCATTGGAGGAGCTTGGGACCTCAGTGTTGTCGAGGATGGCTGTGGTACCTTTTGGAGGAGCTCTGGTTCTTCTGAGCATCACTTCCTGGCTCCAGTGCAGATCCCTCAGCCTGCTAGCACAGATCCTTCTTCCCGCTGGCACAGACTTTGTAGATTCCACCACTGACCTTTGGGCCTTCCCAGCAGATCCATGAAACAGGTCCGCATGAGACGTTGTCATGAGCTCTGGGCCTCCAGTTGGATGCATGGGAGGCATTGTTATGAGCTCTGGGTAGTCAGCTCAATTCATGTAGGACATTGTTGTGGGATCCAGGTCCTCAGCTGGATTCCTTGATCTTAGTGTGTGGACAGATTCCCTGCACTCTTTTGTATACTGTTCTTTGGGGGACTATTATAAATAATCATATGAAGTATGTGTCCTGTATTATATTGTTCTCCTTGCAAAATAAGCCCCAAACCAACACACACATCTTACTAAATTAACTTATAACTATCTTCTTTAGGCCTTTTGCTGTTTATCTAAGTTCTCGAAGATTTCAGTATTGATTATGAATGATAGTTTATTTCTCCTCTCTTATAATAGTAAGATTTTTAGGCAAAATCATAAGATATTTAAATCTACCTAATACTGTATCAAAATACAGGTTATTTTACTTCAGTTCTTCAGAAGAATAAATGCTTTTATGTATTTTCCACCTTCTCTACCTTTTGTCTATCCACTTCAATTTGTTTTAAAATGTTTTCAGCATTTACTTACTTACTGAAAACCTTGAGACTTTCTAATGATAACAGATTCTTCAAATGCAGAAAATATCACATTCACCAAATTGGATATTACCCAATATTAGCTACTATTTTTATTATTTAGCACTTGTATTCAAATGACTTCTGTAAGCTATATGAGAATAATGAAAAACTGAACAGATTATTTGCTTTCTCTCCAGGAAGATAATTCCTAATAAAATTACACTAGGTTAAAATATCTTATTTACGGATTATATGTTTATAAATGGAAACAATGTTTTAAAAGCTCCACTGCTAGCGGCATTATTTCAGGACAACACTAGTTGCAGTAGCAGCAGCGCTCTTATTTGAGATTGCAAGAACAATTTAACCTGGAAATAAAAGTAGAAAAGTATGGGTGATGAAGCAGAAGGTTAAAGTAGGTTTTGCTAGCTACTGTAGGTTGGCTGGCACTTGAGGTCTGTTACAGCGTCTCTTCAAGTGATCGATGTATATTATCATGAAAAACTCAATATACATATAAAGTACAAAGTAAAAGACAGGTAATAGGAGAAAGAGAGGAAGAGAAAAGAGAAGAGAGAGAAGAGAGCGATTGTAGTCCCGCACAATGTATCTAAAAGTGTAGCCCGACAGTGCAATTGTCTTACATGCTTTAGATGTTCTTTGGCCTATCAGTCTGGTTTTCAATCTGTACACATGCTAATTAACTTCGTAAGGTCTTATCAGATAAATAAAGGAACCTGACGCTGGGAAAGTAAAAGAAGGGTGGAGGGAGGGGAAAAGGCATTGAGACGTGCTGCGTGCATGTACCAAGCCCCTGCAGTGAATGGAATCACTATGCAGTGCACACACGGATTGATAAAAGTCAAAAAAACAACTTAGAACCCAAACTGAAGGCATTGTGTTCGCCACAGAAAATCCCAGCGAGTTATTCCGGGCTCTCCTCCGCGCGGCGCACACGGAGGTTCCCGGTTACAGTCGGGCCGGCGGCTCGCTCCCAGCGCAGCCGGGCGCCGCTCTTCCGCGCGCACTCTCCCCGGCCTCTCGGGGTTTCTCTGACGGCCCCGCAGGGCGCTGGCTGCGTCCTCCGCTGGGGCTCCGCGGCTGGGTCCCCTTGTGGGGCGCCCTTTCCGGCTGGGCGAGGTGCTCTGTGGCCCCCGGTGCCGGCCCGGGACACGGCGCAGTTCCGAGTGCGGCTCGGGCCCCGCAGGGCGGGGCGTGAAACACAGTGGACGCGGCAGCCCTGGCGATGAAGACCGCGGAACTGGAACCTCTGGAACCTCTGGAACCCGCGGCTTCTCCTGCCACCGCCCGCCTAACCAGGGCGAGGGGCGGGGCCTGGGCTTCGGGGGCGGGGCCTGAGGTTGCGGGGGCGGAGCGGGGCGGAGCGGGGCGGAGCGGGGCGGAGCGGGGCGGAGCGGGGCGGAGCGGGGCGGAGCGGGGCGGAGCGGGGCGGAGCGGGGCGGAGCGGGGCGGAGCGGGGCGGAGCGGGGCGGAGCTCGCCCGCACGTGCGGCTGCGCGGACTTGGGCCAGGCGGGCGCCCGGGCGAGGTCCCGCGCGCGCCGCGTGCGCACAGCCCTTCATCCCCACCATGGCACAGAGTCACTAAGAGAGAGGGGCGGGAACCGCGGAAGAGCTAATCCTGCTGCTGTGAGAACAGAGCGGAGTTTGATGCACGCCCTCGCTCCTCTGGAAGCCTGCGTGCAGGGGCTGCGCTGCCCCGAGGCGCGGCAGACGGAAGCCCGCGGGGCGGGGCCGCTGCGGGTCGCGCAGGGGGCGGGAAGCTCTCTGCCGCAGGCGCCGCGGCCGCAGTAGGAGGTGCAGGTGCGCGGCCTGGGCGGCGGGGCCTCGAGTCCAAGCCCAGGGCCGCTCTGCGCGACTCGGGACAGCGGCACGGTTCTTTGCATGTTTGAAATTCACCATCTACGAACGACGAGAAATAATGTGTTACTGTGAAGTTCAGGAAGATAATCACTTTCTTTACCTCTGCAGTGGCAAGCATTCCGTGACAAATTATTGGCTCAAGAGCGCACGACGGGCGGAGAAAAGAATCATCAGCGTAAATCACTCACTGTGAAGCGTTTCATTTTCAGAAATGTCGAAGTGTGGAACTCTATCCGACTTAGGGTTTAAGATTCTATGAACATGTGAAACGTTCAGATCTGTTATATACGGAATATGGGAATTTCTACAGGGATGGGCCAGTTTACTTTCGTATTAAGCTTAAAAAATGATCCGCTTAATAAACTAAAGAAAGTTGCAATTCAAATATATTTTTAGGATGATAGTGGCTCTTTAGCGGTAGTAGCACCAAAAGCTGGTTTTAGAAGTGTTTTATTTTTATCTGTTATTAGTGTATGTGTGTGACACACAATGGCTGCATTCAGTTCCAGGAATTGGTCTTGGCCATTTGTGATCACGTTACCCGTCCCTGATCTTCAAAATGTCTGCTTTCGTTTCCGCTTCTTCTTTTACGCTTACATTTTGGGTTTCTCTCAAATGATTTCCAGTACTGCAAAAGCATTTGCATGTGTAAACTCAAGTGCTGCCGCATCTGCTTCCCAGCATCACTTACACTTCTAAAGGTACCTACTTAAATCCTTGGAGAGGGGAGTCCCTGTGGTTAGCGGTGAGTCCTTGGCTCCGGGTTGCTCTTCCAACTACTGCGAAGACGTCTGGAGGCTAATAGTGTGCACTTAAGAAACGTTCTCCAGCTGATTTCCCTGTCTGCCGTTTCGGCTTCAGTGAACTAAAGGAAGCAGATTGACTGTCTTTGCCCTCTTCAGTTACAGATTACTGTGTTGAGGATATAAAACTAAGTAAGCAGATTATAAAGATTCACGAGTCTTTCTCTAATGCCTCTCCAGTTTAAATTTGTTGTGTAGGCACATATTTAGAGGCTGTGGACTATATTTCTTAAAACACTGACTTTCAACTACCTATAAAAAAGTTCCTTGCTTCGTTTTGTTTTTGTCTGTGTTGTTGGTTTTTTGCTTTTTTTTATTACTCTTTTTAAAAAATTCCTTGAATGACTCATAAAATGTTTTATTTTATTCTAGAAATTAACTTAGTACTTTGACAACTCACTGGACAGATGTTTTCTTTTTATGATAATTAGGACTTCAAATGTATACTGAATATCCCTGTTTAAATTCTAATAAGGCCAGACAAAGTAGCGATTACACAATTTTTAGTGTTTGTAACAACAAAATTATTAGGTCAAATACTGACTCAATAATGCCATATTTTACGTGTCTTATAAACCCTTCTGTCACGGTTGGAATCCTCAGTCAATGTATTTAATAATATTATTTTGACTTTTTAAAGATTTTGGTGAGTTACAGGCTTGAGGAATTCAAATAAATGACTAGGTACAGTACTGCCTAAATAAGCTAGGGGCATAAACAGTAGGACCTTGGGAGATCACACACACACATACACACACATGAATACACGTATATACTCACACAGGTACACAGACACATTTACACATACGTGTACACACACATATACACACAGACACATGCATACTTCACACATACACACACACGGAGACAGACACATTTTACACTTTGTAGTCCAGGCTGGCCTTGGACTCACGGTGATCCTCCTACCTAAGCCTCTGGAGTGCCGAGATTACAGGCATTCACCACAGTGTCCGGCTGTCTTTGATAGCATTTTAACTGCTACTAAAACTATATATTTCTTCTGGTTTGGTTATATTAATTAATTGGTGCTGAGTTATTATAGAAAATGTGAATGCTGGTGTAGCTTTTCCTTAGGAAATGTTATTTTCATTATGGCCACCAGCTTTATAACATGCTTTCACACAATGCTGTGACTTACAGTTAACAGTAAATTATGAGCTCAGTGTAGTTTGATGGTTTTTTTAGTTTTAGCATTTTAATACAGTTTTTACTCATTTGAATGAGTGTCCATGCATATCCTGGTTGACATGCTGAGGTTATAAAATGTAGGACATCATCTAAAACTATCAGCAGTAGAAGTACCACTTTTACTCATTTGATAGACCTGTTTCTAGTTTTATTTTTATTTATTTACTTGGTCTTTTTGATTCAGGGTCTCACTGTGCAGTTCAGGTAGGCCTTGAACTCACTTTGTAGCCCAGGCTGGCCTTCAACTCGGAAGAATCCTCCTGCCTCAGCCTCCTGAGTGCTGAGATTACACATGTGAGCCACCACGCCCAGCCTGCCAGTTAGTTTTAATTAATTAATTTTGCCAAATATTTTACATGTTCGGTTTCTCGAAAGAATTCGTGCTTAAGATAAAAAAATTAGAAAAAAACTTAGCTGGTTGTGTCGGCACATACCTGTAATCCCAGCACTGGGGAGGCTCGGTTAGGATTGCCAGGAGTTTGAAGCCAGCATGGGCTACACAGCAAGACCCTATCTCAACACCAACCCTCCAAATTAGAAAAAAATTGAAATAGCAAAAGACTTGTTATCACGTGATCTTAAGAATTTCTTTTAAAATTAGGTTAATTAATTATATTTTAATTGTTTTTATAAAAAGATTTTCACACTCCAAATTTTACATAGGCATTCATTTCTATTACATATTAACTTTTTAAACATAATTTTAATGATTCATAGTTTTACCACAAGATACTTTCTTTTCCATTCTTTAATTAATAGGTTCGTTCCCCCAAATAACCTAAAGAAATCTTCTACTTTCACTTGCTTTTAGTTCACTTTTTAAAAAATCACTTAAAAATTTTTTTTGATGTAGTTCAGTGATAGAGTGCTTACCTAGCATGCCTAAGGCCCTGAGTTCAATCCCCAGTACCACAAAACAAAAACAAAATCAAAGCTTATTTTGGGGGCTAGGGATACAGATCAGCAGCACAGGCAACTGCCTGGCAAGCACAAGATCCTGAGTTCAATTCCCAGTACCCCCCCGCCCCCCAAAAATTAAGTAAAAGAAATCACCAGTTCTGAAGTCAACTGAGCAACGCATTGTTAATCCTCCAGTAGCGTTGCTGACGCTGGTGACTAATCCCACCTAACGGGTCCAAAACTGTTCTCCTCTTGGTTGGCAGGGTTTGTTTTTTCTTATTTCTCCAGGTCCTCTGGGGAGGGTAACCCTCATTGCGTTCCCTGTTCTGGGGTTGGGGGAGGATGCCTTTTGTATCCTAGCAATTAAAAGAATTTACTGTTCCTTGGAAAATCAACCAAAAGCCATAAAAGTCATAAGACTTTCTAATCAGCAACTTTGCAGAACTCAATATGCAGCTTCCTACAGATAACAGCTGTGCATCAGAAAAGCAGACCCTGCAAAATTCATGTGCCTGCCCCAGAATTTGGAAATACCTGCGCCTAGCTCTCTGATCTGCCCCCTAGAACTGTATTCTCTACCAGCCTCCTGCTTCCAGCCTCTCTGCAACATGTCTTAGGTAGTTGTCTCCACCTTCTTTGGTTTCCTAGATTTCCAAATCAACCCCCTTCTTTGCCCCAACAGCTTTTCCAGGAGTCACAGGCCTCTCTGAGTGATTTCAGGTTGTTTGCAGTTTTTCATTACAGTAGATAGTTTAAAACAGATATATTCGTTATTTTCCTTTTAGTGTTAAAGTGTAGCTCCTATTTACTTTTATTTCATTGCCATCTTTATTTTTATTCATGGTTATGATGTATTAGTTCATAATGTTACTATGAATTTTCTATTCCTTTTGCTTCTCTGCAGAGGAATTTGTGCAGAAATTGTGCATAAACATAGGATGGTTCACTACTGCCAAAACATCTGCAAGCTTTGAGGTAGTCAGAGAGCCTCACAATTGGACAGGGTTCTCGTTTATGCTTAGTCTGGGGAAGAGGGTTACCTTCCCTTCATTCTGTTGTAAGGGAAGCGCAGTATATTATTTAATTTTTTTTTTTTTGGCTTTTTTTGAGACAGGGTTTTGCAATGTCGTTCAGGCTGGCCTTGAACTTGCAGCCGTCCTCCTGTTCCAGCCTCTCAAGTGCTGGGATAACAGGTGTGTGCCCTCATGCTCAGTTTTGTTACTTTAATATTTTTAGACGAGGATTTGAAATCTAGCATTTCTTACCTCAAACACTGGGGGCATATAATTTCCAAGGGGGCAAGAAAAGAGTAATGAGTCCACCTCATTAATTTCAATTCTAAGGCAAGGATGACTGAACTGGACAAAATCATCCTTTAAGCGTTGTTAGCCGATGTGTTTTCCTGTAGGAATCTTCATATGTACATCTTACTCTTATTTTTTACCATCCCCCAGCCCCCGTTCCTGCTGGGATAGAAGCTGGGGCCTTGCACCTGCTGGATGAGGCTGTAATGTGAGCTGGTGACGCTGTGTTTTGAGGCTCTCTGTATCTCATATGTGTAAATTGAATTAGCAGGTATTTTCCCAGCGAATCAGTGGTAATTTCTAGAGCAATTCTGGGTTATATTTATATGCAAAACAATTTAGAGCACATACTTCTAGAGAGAAGTTGAAGACCTTAAACAATAAAATTAACAAATATATAGTGGAACAAAAAGTGTTAGACGCTAAAAGCAGAACTAAGGAGATATAAATACCTGCACTCATAAGCTAGAGCCTTGCAGAAAACACAATATCAAATGTCTCTATAAGGCTTGCATGCAAATTTGGGCGTATTGTATACATAAGCATGTGCATTTAGCTATCTCAGTAGCTCCTCCTGATCCTACGCTAGGAGCATTTCTTCAGAATCATGGTTGGATATAAAGACAGTGAGAGAAAACACAATCTTACTGATACACAAGTGACTGAAGATATGAAAACACATTTATGTTCCATCAGCTGTTAGGCATAGAAAAAAATTGAGATGATCCTAGGTGTAAGTATTATGTCTTTCAGTTAATTTCTTATATTTCATAAAACAAATGTTTGTAAATATTTAAATAACTATTGAATGATTATCAAAGCTAGTTTTCATTATGACAAATCGTATTTTTATAATGATTTTGTTTCTAAAAGCATAATTCCATTAAAGGTGTTAATTGAAGAGAAGAATTAGGGGCTGGGGATGTAGCTCAGCGGCATAAGAGCTTGCCTGGCAAGCACAAGGTCCTCAGTTCAATTCCCGGTACTAAAAAAGAAAAAAAAAAACTGGGCGTGGTGGTGCACGCCTGTAATCCTAGCACTCGGGAGGCTGAGGCAGGTGGATCGTTGCAAGTACGAGACCAGCTTGGGCTACCAAGTCAGTTCAAGGCTAGCCTGAACTGCATAGCGAGACCCTGTCTCAAAAAGACAAAAAAAAAAAAAAAAAAAAAAAAAAAAAATCAAGAGAGGAAGTGTCCTTAACTAGTGGTAAAGTAAAATTTAAGAGTTTATAATTCTTGAAAAAATTCTTGAATATTAATTTTTAAACAATAACTTCTTCCTATATCTGGCTTATGCAATAAAAATGATTAGAGTTTATGTAAAATATCACAAGGTTTAGTGCATCCCTGGAGAAGAAAAGCTAAAATCACGTACCTGTTAAAAGGAACCCTTTTCCTGCTATTACCTGCACAGATAAAGTATTGGGAATCTTTAAAGTGCTAGGAATGGGTCAGTGGTTCTCAAGTTATATTAAGAGTTAATCTTCATTTAACCAGAAAACAAAATTATCTTCTACCACTAATTTGGTCTCTGAGGAGAGAGAGAGAAAAAAATGAACAACCAAGTGATGACTTAATATTTAATCATAAATATTTCATGAAGGAAAAATAATGTGACTCTTGCTCAATAAGCATTTGTTCTTTATATCTACTTCTCTTAGTAATGCACACGTTTACCTTGGAATTGGAAGAAGTGATGATAGAATGTGATGTTTTGTCCTTACCCAACTAAATAGTTCACCTTGTCTGCGCTACATCCTTTGGCCATTTCAACTTTATAAAAACTAACTCTTTTCACTGCTAGAAATTCTATTTGTTTACTGTTGCAATCACCTAGCACTCTTGGGATTTCATTAATTTGATTTTTATCAAATTTAGTGTGGCTATATATAAATTGAGGTGTATTTTAAGTCTTTATGTTAGCAACTTTTAAATTTAAAAACTTTATTTCAAATTTATTTTTTATATTTTATGTATTATTTAATGAAAAAAATCTCAATTTCTGTGTACACTCTATATAAATTCAGAATTGGCATTTAAAATGCATGCTGGCTGTGACATCTGCTACTGGCTGTTTATACATGTGCATGCTCAGAAGGGCCCCACGTGGGTCTTACTGTGTGAGACACAATGAGAGCAGAGCAGTAAGTAATGTGTGCACCGTGTGTTTGTGCTGCAGTGTTCAATATTATTTTCTGTATGAAATTTTATGAGTGTGAAGTTTTGAAAAGAATTAGTAATGGCAATTAGTAATGTAAATAAAGACGCTTTAATCCTGTTCCTTAAGTATGTGTTTTATCTGTATGAGTTTGAGAGTACCTATTTGAGAGTATTGTAAAAATCCTTCTTTCTAAATTATAAATTTTAATTATAGGAATTTTCTTTTTCTTTTTATTGTCAAAGAAAAGTACATTTTGTTTTAAAACTAAGATCTTTTTATATTCTCGCTGTACCATTTGGAACCCATTTTATTAATTTCTAGGTACATAAATAGAGATATAACTTCAGTCTACTGTAATGGCCGTATAATACTACAAATTAAGACAGCATTTTACCTCTTTCTGTAACTTTGATTATATCCATGAATCTGCAATGTAGTCTTTGCTTTAAATTGTTAATATGAATATTATTAGTTTTTTGAAAAGTAGGTTTTTTTATTAGCTTTTATAATTAATTCCTAGATTTATGGGCTAGATACTGGTTTCCAGTATAACTCTGTCCTTGAGACTTTTGGGGGTGCACATTTAGCAGCTTTTTGAAAGAGATCTGGAGCCTTGGAGGTTGGTGGAGCTTTCTTAGCAGAAGCTCTCCCAGCGCTTGCTGTGGAAAGCTGAGACCGAGGAGCCGGGCTTCCTGCATTCAAGAGGGCCAGGACTGGTGTCTTCCTTTGGTGTCTTCATGCTGACTGTCCTATAGCATTGCCAGCCAAAGACTTTTTCCTTTCCTTTTTCTTTTTTTTCTATTTTGAGAGAAAATGGTGTCCTCTTTGTGTACAATTAATAAGTTACATCAGGTTTATTTAATATTTTTCGTTCATTAAAAAAATAGATTTTGGCCTTTTTTCAGATTTTCTTTCTTTCTTTCTTTCTTTCTTTCTTTCTTTCTTTCTTTCTTTCTTTCTTTCCTTCTTTCTTCCTTTCTTTCTTTCTTTCTTTCCTTCTTTCTTACTTTCTTTCTTTCTTTCTTTCCTTCTTTCTTACTTTCTTTCTTTCTTTCTTTCTTTCTTTCTTCCTTCCTTCCTTTTTTCATTCTTTCTCTCTTTTTTAATTTACTGTCTTTTAAAAGTAGTCTTAGGCCCACAGAAGAATTGAGTGGAAGGTGCGACGAGGTTGCATGTAATTCTTTCCCTGCCGTCCACCTTGCCCGTCCCCTTCTCCCACTGGGATGGTGCAACTCACAGCTGATGAACACACACTGACTCATTTCCATACAGAGCTCACTGTCAGGGTTGCACATTCTATAGATATCTTTTTAGAAGACAGAAATAATTTATTTTCATAAAATTATAGCATTACTTCAATGACAAATTTAAAATTTATCATTTTTTATGGTATGAGGTATTTCACAGTTTTATTTTTTAACGTCCTTGTTTTTCCCATTCCAACAATAGTTGTAGATATTTTGTGATAAGTGGTTAATAATTTTTAATGTGGGAAATGATTATATTAGTACTATAAAACATTTATTTTACAGGAATATTTAAAAGTTTCATCTTTCCTTTCAAGAGTTTCTGGGACTTCTAAGTACATTCCAATAAAGTATACATAAAAGTTTGTGCATCGCCCTTGACTACTAGTTTTATAAACTTTATTGCACTATGATGTCATCGGGCACCTACCATGGTGTATCACGTGGGAGTGTTAGCAGGAGTACATCCCAGCATCTCAGTCGTTTAACTAGTGTGCCAGAGTTAAGACAGTCTGTATTTTTGATATCACAATTAAGTTATTCTGTTGACATTCAGCTTTCTTTCCTTGAAAATTGAGATTATTATAAAAATTTATTTCTCTACACTTGAATGTTTTTGGGAGTGGTAATATCATTCACAGTGGTTTTTTTTTTTGAGTATACAATTGGCTTAACAATGTATCATGGGTTTTAGTAGCTTTCATTCATCCTAATGTACTGTTAAGGGGGGTAGTTTTGCTTTTCTTTCTGGATTTTAGCAAGGAAAACCTATGCTATTCTTTAGAATGCTACTTCATTCCTTAACCATCCCTTTTTTTGGTTTATTTACCCATTTGTTTATTGACTATTTATTCAGCTCCTGCACTATGTGCTAGTGCCGGGACTAAGGGACAGGAGCACCCTACCCCATCCGGCTCTTCTCCCTCATGCTGGTCTGATGAGTTTTCCCTCATGTGTTCTAACAATTCTATTCTTTGGGTCTCATATCTAGGTCCTTCTAGAATAGAATTCTAATTGATTTTAGTTTTTGGTGTGAGATACAGTTTCAATTTAATCTTTTTGCTATCCAATTTTCTCAGCACCATTTTGTGAAAAGATTATTTTTACTCCATTGTCTCTCCTTGGTGCCCCTCTTGAAGATTAGCTATACATATTTTGGTTTTATTCCTGAGCTTTTTACTCTACTCCATTGTGATATGTGTGTTTCTAAGGAGCATGGAATTTATAGTGAGGGCATCTTGATTTAAATCTCAGCTCTCCTTGGGGAAAATTAGCTCATTTCTCTTTCTTTCATAGCCAACACCACGACAGCAAAAGAATGCACCCCTTAGGTTCATGCTGAAGGAGTAAATGCATATGAATAGAAGGCTGGCTGGTGTATAGTGTGTGCTATATAACTGTTCAGTGCTTACTATTACTAAGTATTCTTATTGTTCATATCTCCACAATTTTTATAATACCTTGTATGTAGTGGATGACTTTTTAAAAACTAATAAAAACTTTACCACTTTAACATATGACTTCTTCAAGAAATTAATAACATTGTTAGTGGCTATAGCAGATGGTGCTTAGATACGCTATATTCCTGGCCATTCTTCTTGCTGTGACTCTAGCATTTGAATAAGAGAGCAGGTAAAAGGCTGCAAATCACTTCTAACTGTAGCATGTCTGTGGCAGGTAATTGCAGCAGAATAGATGAGTGGTTTTTTTCCAGTAGTGCACTAGCAGTTTTTATGTTTGTTGCCAGGATGTGGTATCTATGGGCCAAGCATGAAAGTGACCTAATAATTTCCTTGCAATGTTTCTTTAAAGGAAAAATCATACCATAGACTTTTAAAATTTGTTAGTATTTTTTTTAAGATGGAAAGACCTCAGACATAGAAGCTCCTAGGCATGTGTGTGTGTGTGTGTGTGTGTGTATTTGGACACAAACTGTGTGTGGACACTGTGTGTGTGACTGTGGATTCCAGTCTGGAGGAAAGTGGTCATGCATTCTTCGGACCCCCATGAATTTCTATCATTTCGTGACATATCTGCATTTGTAGCTGTGGTCATCTGTAGCTTGTCTCTGCCTGGAATTTGCTCTTGGGAATTTGCTCTGGACTCCTATCAGGACAGTGAAACTTGAATGTTCCCAGGAGTCCCTCCGTGGTCCTCCTTTGGATTGAGACACCATGGTTTAGTTCTTTTCTGTCTAAGTTCATTTAAACTTAGGAAGTTTAACTGTCCCAATATTAGCCTAGAGAGAAACAGTTCTTAAGCACTGTTAGATTGTAGACCATATGGAAGACTCAGTGAAATTATGATCCCTGCCTACAGGCAAACTGTGTGTGCGAATTCACACTGTACTTGCCTTGGTAGGTGAAAGTTTCAAAGAACCCCTCGGCCATCTCCACAGACTCTTTGAACTCAAGACATTCAGCTGCATTCAGTTGACTTTATTGTGCAAGACTCATAAAAATTAAATGACTAGTATGTAAGGGGAGAAGAAAAAGGAGCTGAATCTGTGGAAAATCACATTTTCTCTTGACTGAAGATGAAAACTGGCTGAAGGAAAGTTTGAAATCGTCATTTGGTTTCAGCAAAATCTATGAAAAATAATGACAGTTTAGAAATTCAGTTCATAGTGTGCTAATAGCTCTCATATATAACCTTTCATTTCATTTCCATAAGTTTTCTCATATCTATATCCAAGGAATTTACCATATCTAATGTTTCAGTTTAAATATTTAAAAAGGACATATAGTGAGCTGAAAATAATAGACCTCACCTTATATTTTATAAAAGATACTGTCCTTATATGCTTCTTTATAAGAGATAGTGGTTTCATTTCAGGACACTAGATTCGGGAGGTGTGAACAAACGCAATTGTTGAATAATGATTACTCCATTAGAAACATAGGTAACAATAATTTTGGCTATATAAAGTACATACCTACCTATTAAATCACTTGCTATCATGTTGATTCTGTTCATTTTCTTATGTTATTTTCTGACATTGTATAAGTCAAATATTTATCCAGCTTATTTTTTTTTTATTAATGTATGCTATTGAATTACAACAAAAAACCACAATTTACACTTAAGGTAGTGTAAAGAAGTCATATATAGAAATACATAGCATAGTAACTAAGCTCTATTGTTTGAAGATAAACAAGTTTAGAGTGACTCCAATTTTGTACTTTCTACCTGTGGTAATTACTTAATATCCATAGGCCTCCTTTTTTTTCCATTCCTAAATTTGAGAGAACAGTATAATCTGCTTCATTTGACTGTGGTGGGAATCAGTTGATATAGTTACGAAAAGTTCTTATCATTTAGCAAAGGCAGGGTGTTTGTTAAAAATAAATTTTACTAGGTATTTTACTTTACTTTTCTGATATACTTCACAAATCGATGTGTTTTTAAAAATTGTTTCCAAAATTTGGAACAATTGTTCCAGATGTTCTTATTGAAACTTATAGTAACCTATGCTGTGAAAAATGAAAGTTCAAAGAGAGAGAGAGAGAGAGAGAGAGAGAGAGAGAGAGAGAGAGAGAGAGAGGGAGAAATGACCAGCTAAAGATGTAGGAGAAAAGATGGCTGGAGGAGGCTTTTCAGGCCTGTGCTGTCCTGTCAGATCTCACATCATTGTGTGAGATTTTGTTTCATAAAATATAGACAGTTTGATGGATTAAAAATTTTGTTTCAGGCCGGGGACATGGCTCAGTGGCACAAGCACCTGCCTGGCAAACACAAGTTCCTGAGTTCAATTCCTGGTACAAAAAAAAAAAAAATGTTTCAAAGAAACTCAAATTTTATAACTTTCTTTCAAAATTATTTCATAGTTCTTGTGAAAATACCTACTTCATTAATCTTTCTCTTATTTAGCTTCCTAAAAGTTTCAAATTATTTTATATCCTGCTATTATCTGTTGATCAAAATAAAAACAACATTGTGCGTTACATTTAATATTCTGGAAGTATACTTTCAGTACTTTTCCTTTTTTTTGTTTCCCCCGGTACCGGGAATCGAACTCACGACCTTGCGCTTGCCAGGCAGGTGCTGTGCCGCTGAGCTAAATCCCCAACCCCTTTTAGTGTTTTTCAAGTTAACCATTATATTTCTTCCACAGGTTTATCTCAGAGTAAATCTGCAATGCCTGACTTGATGGGTCTTCCGAGGAACAATGTCTGAAGTAAGGAAATGCATGGGAGGTGCGTCATTTCCTTTCACCCTATTTATACCAGAATTACAGTCCTTCAGGATTGTTATAGAATTAAAATCTATTTAAACTCATGGACTCTGAGTATTTTAATCTAAGGAAATTTGTTTTGGGGATAAAAATCATGAGACTGTTACATAGTATTTCACTGTACTGTTATTGTTTGTATATGAATGGGTAAAATAGACTCCAGGAATGTTCTAATTGTCAGAATAATTTTCTTCATTTTATAAAACAATTTTTCCTTTCTTGCAGAAATGTAATTGATCACTGCTATGGGTCTTCTAAATTAAAATTATAATTAGTCCATTTGGTCTGCTCCCATAAGTCAAGTTATCTGTACGATTTTAGATTTATGGTTGTACTGATAAACCCATTTTTGTTTTCTGGATGTTCACTTTATATTTTACTCATTTACCTGTATTATTTCCTTGCTGTTTCTATGCCACGGGTGAAGTGGCTGGGACTTCGGTGGCCTCAGGAGCACGGATGAATTCTGAGGGCACTTCAGGGACGTTCTCAGGGCTCACTGCAGGCACCGCAGCAGGGTCGGGAGTCGGTACGGGAGCAGCGATGGTCTCAGTAACAGGGAGAGTGGCTTTTTCTGGAATTTTCTTTGGGGGAATGACCATAAATGAGTGTCTGGTTCGGTGAGGTTGCGTGGTAGGCTGGTGGCTATTTGTTAGGACTGGCCACTTGGGAATTTGGGCTTGTGGCTGAAGCACGAAAGATTGTGCATAAAATGGGTGGCACATATACGGGTTAACTGGTACAACTGCTCTATTTTGGTAGTAATTGAGCGCATTATGAAGATAGTTATTCAGCATGGGGTGACTTAGGACATATGGGACTTTTTTTTGATTGAACAATCTTTCATCATTTTCACAACACTGAAAAAGAAAATGCAGAAGTTATTGTAGAGCAAAATGTAGAGACACAGTAAATCAACATTTTTTGAAATAACGTAGTATTTGATGTTTGAGTAAATGCAATATTGGTAGTACAAAGCCTAACAGTCATTATTATTTTATAAAATATAGATATGTGCAATTTACTTTCAATTCATGATTTTTGATATTACTTTCAACCCTATAAGAATAATACTCATTTTAAACGAATTAGATGAAGTAATTTATCATGTAAACCACATTAACCAGAAGTTGGCATGTATGGGAAGCACTCAGTAAATGCTGAATATCATAAGTACCACACAGAAAAATCTCATGAAAACTGACGGTGTCCACAGGCACACATGCACACATTCTTACTACTTGTTTGTAACTGCCCCCCCCCCCCCCCGCCCGTTCCATTTATCTAGAGATTAGCACAAGGGACGGCAAGTTTTATTTTCCCAAAACTAATAAAAACAAAATAGTAAAATGGAGGAGGATTTCTTTTTTAGTTTAATTCTGTCCACAAAAGATCAGAAGGGGCACTTTCTACTTTTATTTGCCTCTGTTCTACTAATTAAGTACACTCTCAAAAATGTGTCAGGAGACCTTCACGAATGAACAGAAATGAATCAACAAAATTACGCTGGAAATGTGCATTTCTGACAAAAAAAAACATATTTAAGGTACTCACACATATTTGTGAAACTAAGAGGAGTCTCTCTCTCTCTCTCTCTCTCTCTCTCTCACACACACACACACACACACACACACACGCACACACGAGAAGCATTCAAAGATGTGTCAAAGACTTGGAAATTACTCCCAAGCCTTAAAAGTAGACAGGAGAAATATTAACCTTTTCTTGTGTTTCTGGTTTCTCCCAATATTAAATAGTGAAAGCGTTTTCTCATGTTGCTAAATACACATTAAAACCAAAGACACAGGGCTTCGGCTGTACAATAAATCCAAGACTTTCAGATGAACATCGAGGTAAATTTGTATCATCTATTGGTAAAGTAGTAGATTCTTGTTTCTTGGTTTTTTAAAGAGTAGATTATTCTGTGCGGATCAAATGCTTATTTAGTTTATGGACAGGAAATGTCTCTCCATCACTGGCCTTTGCAGAATGCATTTCAGAGTCCACGTCTATAATAGAAATCATTAGACTTACTGCGAGTTGCTCCTGGTTCTGCACCTCTGCAGCCTGAGAAGTTACCTAAAAAAGAAATAATGAGAAGTAGGAAGTTAAAAAGAAGGAAAGCAGAGTTTATTTTTTTGTTAAATATCATACTTAGTATGTTAATTTTTGGCAGAGATAAATTAGCATATAAAAGATGGTATCACATTGTTGTTGTAATTTGTATAATTGTGACCTCTGAAAACAGTGAATGGTAAAATCCATAATCTTTAATTTTTCTTTTGAATTTTTAGTTTATGTCCCTTGGGGTTGAAACTTTGGTGAAAATATGAGGAAAAATTTGTAGATAAAAGTTGGTAGAAAGAAAGAAAAGGTGAAAGAAAAAAGGTATATGTCTAAGTAATACCAATTTTTAAAGTAATTTTGAATCGAATAATTTACCTGATGGATATGAAATAGATGTTAACTTAAAAGCATACCTAAACTTAGTAATAAATTCAGCAAGAACTACTGCCCTCCAAATTTTATAATCTTTACAGGAGGGCATTAACTGTTATTTGTGCTCTTTGCAAACACAGAGCTTGGACTTCATGAAAGAAATGAAATCCACCAGTAGCCAGAAAATGAAAATGTGGCAAAAAATTAGAAGAGACACAACCCTTTTCTTGGTCCATCTTTAAACACAGTAATTCAGTGCCTGCCAGCCATGGAGCTGTTTATGAACGTATCTCCCTGGGAAGGAGTCAGCTGGGGTGTTGAAGGCGAGAGCGCAGGGCGAGAGAAACTGGTGACTGCACTGCTAGACATGGTGGAAGTCACGGCCTCTGAAAGTGGTCGAAAGAGTAACTATGTGGCAGATCTTTTATCTGTTAACTCCATAAAGAGATTGGAGTCGGGAGAGATGAGAATTTAAGAGAAGTTTTGATCCTGGACGTGATTTCTTTCTTTATTTGTTATGAATTATCACTAAGACATTTATAATTTAAAAATATTTTCAGTATTTCTCTCTAGAATGTATGGTGTTCCATAGTATAGGAATTTGAATTCTATCCATGATAGAGTGTGATTCCTCAATTGTGATAACTTTAGGAATATCTAGAAGAATGTAACTTTAATTTTATAATAGAAAGAAGTACAAAATAACTATTATGCAATTTGTTACATGAAGTATAACTGCATTTATAAATTTATATAATTAGAGACCTTAAATAAAATTTCTTAGAGTTTTACTGGAATTGGTTAAATGAAATTAACTCACCAAAAATGGCAGAGTTATTGCCACTATATTCACAACTAGAAGAAAAGTTTTCATCATTTCACCTAAAAAATAAAAAAGTTAAATTATAAGAATCTATTACTGATAATTCCAGTGATTTGGATGTAATGTTTACTTTGAGAAAAATAAAGCCAGATTGAAAGACAGATTTAACTAACATGAAAATATATTTAACTAAAAGTATTAGAAACATCAAATTTGGAGTAAAATTTTTAAAATTTAATTTTTGGTAATATTGCTGAAAGTATCATAACAAATTTAATCATCTGCCCATGTAATACACACCAAGAACCTACTAGTAGTGAAATATTAAGCCAAATGTTGAGATAGCAAGGTGGCTCTCACGTGAGTATTACCAGCAAATAGCACTGATTTTAGGGTGGGAGTTGCAACATATACAAAACACTCTAAGAAGAAATGAAGTGGAAAGTGCCAGAAAAGTTGTTTTCTTCAAATAGAAAGTCTCAGTTAAGAGAATCAGCAAAAAATCTTTGGGTAGAAGATGACAGTTAGGTGAGGCTTCCTTAGGAAGAATTTAATGGGTAAACAAGTATTTCACGCAAAGGAGAAGGCTTTGGAATATCAATGAAAATTTTGATTAAAGTATTGTATGAGGGGGAAAGGTAAAATGGGAAAACAGCTTCCAGCAGAAAAAGTAGGACGTTAGATGCTGCATAAGTGGGGAGTTGGGGCTTTGAAGTAACAGGTGACGGTCTGTGTGGCCTAGAGACTGATGTGACCACACATTCCTTTGAAGGACTGTTGATCTGAGCACACTTACATTTCCCTTTCCTGGGCATGACATTTCTGACCTGGAACAAAGAGCTTGAACTAAGTGATTTCTGAAATTCTGTGCTCCATTACACATCTAACAGTACGTAAAATGCAACAGGGATTGGAGGGGTATAAACCTGAGTTTATCATAATCTAAATCTACTTCTTTGGTAATTATAAATGATATGATTAACTTCACACAAAGGACAAATATAATTTTGGTGTCTTTGACTAAAGAGAAATACTGTACTAAGAGAAATAAATTAACTTTGTTTTTCTACAAGAGAATGTGGTACCACAACTGCCTATTTGATTTTAATAAAATATTTTTCTGGGCAGTAATGTGACACCTCAAACTCCGATATTAAAATCCATGTTGTCTTTGTGGAGTAAATACCAGAGGCATCTTGCTGCAGTTATAGATACTTCCATACCTGTGTAAATGCAGGTCGCTGCAGACTGAGATTGACAAGATTCACAGAGTCAGTGCCGGGTATGGAGAAGACAATAAGCACACTGGACTCCATTTCCCTCTCTTCTTAGGTGATTCTTGGGTGATGAGAGAACTGTTACTAAACTGACCTCAGAATCAGCTCTAAAAAGGCCACTGAATGGAAAAGAGCTCATGTAGAATCAAATCTGAGCAGTCTGAGGAAACATATGCACCTTATTTGTTCTTCATTTGCCAGTTTCTTTTTAAAATCACTGATTGAAAAATGATCTTTCTGTGGCGAATCACAGACTTCTTTTTTATTTTAAAGATAAAAGAATGAAAAATTATTAACAAACAGACATTGCACAAAAACAGTAAGAGCAATACAGAGTTTCAGGCAAGGTGATAGGAAATTAACAGTGGTTGTTGCATTGCATATTGTTTTCTGCAAATTGATCACTCAGATAAACAAATATAGGGATGTAAGATTGATCAGACAACTACACATTAATTGTTCCTTTCAATAAACCAACAGAAATCAGTAGTATACCTATCCTGGCTATCCTGTGCATACATCTATCCTTACATAAAAGCATTTTTATAACAGAGACAAGAAAGAAATTTTATAAAATGACAGTAGTGCTTCCATTTTTAGTATGAATAAAAATCAGAGGTAAAATGAAGTTTTATGTATCAGCTCCTTAAACCAGCAAACCTTTCCCCTTATCACTTGGTAAGAAGATGACACAATTTATATAACAATGCAGCTTTCATGAGCATATAAAAGGCACGCTTTAAAACAATAATTATACCTAAAAATAAATTATAACTTTTAGATGGAGATAAAATTTGAAAGTAATTTATGGATCAATCTGGATTATTATTATAGATCCAATTTTCTGGATAGTTAACTCTCCAAAGGGTTAGGATTATTGTCTTAAAAGCTTTCTTATTTAGAATTCATGATATCTAATTTAGCCAGTATCAAACCATGACTTTAAGCCAGAGTTGAAAAGAAATTTGATAGTAGCATTATCCCAAATCAGAGGTTGAGGTTAGAAATGCACATTAGAGTGATGTTTGGATGTATTCAAGATTTGCAGTAAGGCTAACAGAAAGCAAATGTGATTCTAAAGTAGCACTGATGACATACATCCCAACCGACCACATGGGGAGGGAATCAGGGGCAGATCAGAACCTTTACCTTTACTGTGGCAGCCGGGGCTGGGTTGGCAGTAGGTCTTGCTTGGCCTCTCAGCTGTAGAGAAGATCAAGAAAAATAACTGAAGACTAGCTATGGGGTATTAATAGCTCCAGTCTCTTTCTATTCCCCTCCTATTTTCCACCCAATAGGATGACGGCAAAAGGAAGACCTGACGTCAGCAAGATCATCTTTGGGTCAGTCACTTAATGAAATGCGGGGGGGGGGGGGAAGAATTACCAGCTATGAAGCTTGAAGAAGGACATTATGTATCTTTTTAAAGAACAGATTTTATTGCTTTTTAAAAATACAGAATTAAAAGTATACATGCATGTTAAAGCTATTGTTAAAATGATAAAAATAGGTAGACATAATACTTTCATATTTTATCTTTTATTTTTTTTTTTATTTTTTGGTTTTTCTCCGGTACCAGGAACCGAACTCACGACCTTGCGCTTGCCAGGCAGGCGCTTTTGCCGCTGAGCTAAATCCCCAGCCCCTACTTTCATATTTTAAATGTTTCATACAAGCAACCGTACATCTAGTAGGGAGTGTAGTTGTTCTTTTTCCTTCCCCTGTCTTACATGACCAAGAACACCATTTCATAATTTAATCCATATAGGAAGCATTGTAACTGATATAAAGTGGGGAGTCATCTGCATTTAAGCTGTAGCATGTATTCATCACTGTGTTCAAGATGTGAGTACTGAGTATACACTTATTTATTAACTTCTTATGCACAAACTGTTCTTTTAAATTTTTAAAATTTCAGTAATATTGTTTAACCATTTTGGATGTCAAATACTAAATTGGGGATAATTTTCTGTGTCAAGGGCAGGTTATTCTGATATTATCAATAGTGTGGATATTTTGGGAAGAAATAGCTAATCAGAGTCTGCCTGCCTAAGTCGGGAGAGAATATTTTCTTTTACTTGCAGTTTTCTGAGAGTAACATTCAATGTGGCTTCACTTTGGTTGTGAAAGTGTGAAGAAGTTGAAGCATTTACAGGAATCAATGTAGAACTGCCAGAATGTAAACAAGAAATAATGTCAGCATTGTAGGTATTTTTGTACTGTGTCTGTTTCTCGGAACTATTTTACATCTTAGAAAGCTGGGAACATTGTTCTGAATCCTGGAATCCTTACTCAGCTTGTGTAGAGTAAGTTGAGAGTTTCTATTTCTCAGAATCACTGGTTTCTGCTGTTCAGAGACATGGTAGAGTTTCAAAACTGAAGAAACAAGCTACAAAAGTTGTAAGATCAGCCATTCTATCTGAATCACTCAGTCACAGTTCCTTTTGTCATCAAAGTCAAGGATATTTGTAAGTTTATGGTTTGGTCAATCCTCAAATTATGAAGGTGGCTTAATCCATAGCCATTTGATTTAGCAATGAAACTGATTTTAAGATGAGTGTTTAATTATTTAATTCATAAGTGCCAGAGACTAAGAACATTTTCAGAAGTGTTGTTTTAGAAATAAAATGTATTTCAGAATCAACTGGAAATGTTAGGAGTTCCCCAGCCCCTACCCCAAACCAAGAGAAAAATATTTCAGCAGTGAGATCAGCCCATGGTTTAGGGACTTTGCAAAACTGGAAGTCTTCAAGCACATACAGTATTCAGGCATTTGGGAAATACGTGCAACCAAAGGTGACAAACATCCCTGCCCTTATGAAGCTCATTAACATTTATTTGAATTCTAGTGACATCGGATGTTTTTCATATGCACTGATCTAAGGCAACCTAGGAGAGGCAGATAGTTTTGAGTTAAGGTAGATGAGTTTCGAGATAAACTAAAGGAACTCTGAATTCGAGCTATCCAAATATTTTAGTGTTTTCCAAAGAAAAACAAAAGGGGAATAAGAAATCTTAGCTCTTACATCTCCAGGAAAATGAGATAGTGATGAACAAGGTCCTGAAAGACAATTTCTGCAATCTGAAACAAATGCAACAGCCTTGCTTGTGATAAATTCATTTTAGGATGCAAAGCCTGCTCCTGAAACACCCTTGGCCTATGGGAAAGGACCCAGTGGAACTTCCCAGTCAAGCCACAGCTTCCTACAGTTTAGGTCCTGGTAATAACTGTGCATCCATAAACTGTTCACATTGTGGGTGAGTATACACTTATTTATTAACTTCTTATGCACAAACTGTTCTTTGGGTAAGAGGCTGCTGTGAGCACAGAAGTTCATGCCTGAAGCACTGACAAAGGGCATCATTGTAAGTAGCGATTATTGACTCGTGCGTTCCTTTTTACTGCTAACAACCTGTTATTCTGCTAGCATTTCTCACATCCAACATGTGCTCTCTTCGTTTGATCTCTTGTGCATGTACTTTTATTTTTTTCTGTTCCATTTTTTTCCCAATCACCTCATTACTACTAGGCTGATGTCAATCCTCTTGTGTCCTTAAGATACAAGGTTTGTGACAGCAGCTGCAATGTAAACATATTTTCTATGTGCTTAATTACTAAGGGTTCAGAAAATTGGCATTTTGGTGTAGAAAACTGTATACTTCAGAAATTTTTTGATATGTGAAAATTAGCGTAAGATGCTCTTAAAAACTGTCACTACAGCAAGATGGAATATCAAACTTTTGCTCCCCTGTAGCCAATTTATTTACATCAATAATACATGCAGATATGGAGTTTATATTATAAAGAAAACACTTCCAGTAGGATAACAGCCACATCTCTCTTGTGGAAAACACCTAACATGACATCAGACGCTTTCATACAGTCTCAGAACAGTGGGTCTGTACATGTTCTGAAGACAGCACTGTCTTTCTGGTGAAGAGCAACATGACTTGGCATTAGTTTATTCATAAATTTATGCTTTAGTAAATTTTAGGCTCCCAGGACTTCTGGAGCCATTAGAAGAACATAGATAAAAGGCAAATTATAATCAAGAAAAATGGCAATTTATGTAAAACATTATTTCTCCAGTTGATCCTAGGACCTGTTGTAGCTGTGTCCTATATTTATTCCAAAAGGTCTTTCATTTCTCTAACATCATCCAAAATAAGCAGTCTACAGCCATACCACCCTGAACGCACCCGATCTCATCTGACAAAATAAGCAGGCAGGTCAACTATGAACTTCATGTAACCAAATCTAGTGTTAATGGTTAGAATCTCTTATTCAATCTTATAGTAACCACTGGCATGACGGTTCGTCTATCTGGCCTGTAATGTTTTCTTAAACTTCTTTTTCTTTTCAAGTTGCTGGTTGTTGTTTCCTCCTGTACTGGGGATTAAACTGGAACCTTCATTCTGAGCTATATTCCCAGGTTTTTTTTTTTTTTTCATTTTCAGCTTTTGAAAAAAATTTATTTTGAGATAGGGTGTGGTTGTTGCTAAACTGCCTAGGCTGGGCTCTAATTTGTGACCCTCCTGCCTCAGCCTCCTAGACTGCTGTGACTAGTGTGCACCACCATACCCAGCTACTGGATGCTAATAAATTTTCTTTCAATTTCTTTTATTTTCCTCAGACTCTAAGTTTGGAAGAACTTTTGAGGACTCTTCCTGAGTGCACCATCTCTCCATCTTTTTGCTGTTCTCTCTTTAGGACCATTCTAGTTGACTTATTCCATTCTTGTTACCTTAATTCCATCAACCTGCTACTGACTTTACTAAACTCCAGGTTTAGGCATACAATAGCTTTTTAAACATCTCGAGTAGCCTGTGAAATAGATACTCACATTCACCATGAATACAATGAAATGTTGAATCTACAAACACATCCCATTTTAAATGAGTATATCAGTCTTCCTGCATTAGTAAGTAGTGTGATGATGTTCACTTTTACCTCTGTTGCTGGAGTCCCACACTGGCATCTCATATCCAGACCATTCCAGTAATTCCCATCTTGGCCTGTTTATGTCCACTCTTACTGCTTTATAGTTAACTTTTATGTACTTATTAAAATTTTATTTTCTGAACATGTACCTGATATAATTATTCTTCTGTTTAGAAGCCTTGAGCAGCTTCCTGTGGCACTTAGAATACATCCGAAACTCCTTCTGCAGGCTGTGGTATCCATGTAATTTTATTGCCCCCATACCTTATCTTGTAGCACTTTGCTGTCATTGCAGGCCAGCTTTAAGGACCTTTCTCTAACTACAGTACGATGTGCTGAAGTCTTTCCTGAGCCAGCCAACTTTCCATTTTATTTGTGGTCCTCGGAATGTCCTCGCCTGGTTCTTCTCATGTCCCCTTTTCATTCTCGGGGTTCAGCCCAATGTCTTCTTTTTAGAGGAGCCCTGCATGGCTCCTTCATCAGTCTTTAATTTTAATTTTATTTTCTGTATGGCATATAGTGATATGATTTTTTAAAGATTTTGTCTTTTTCCATTGGGGAATAAGTTCCTCTTCTGCAAACCTATGTCTGGGACATATTATGCACTCAAATATTTATTGGCCAAGTGATTAATTATTTGGATTATGTAAATAAACATGGCAATTTCCTGTGTCATTCCATACTATAGAGTCAAAAATCTTAGGGAAGTAATGTCCTGGAAATCTGCATAGTTACCAAGTACCTAAATAAATTTTTATATGAGATGAAAGTTTGGGAGTCACTGCCTCCTTCAGGATGAGGTCAGAACCTGACCAAGACCATTTCTAATGGGGGGCAGGTATATTAGCTGCCACCTCTGGAATTCTAATTTACTTCATTGAGAGCTAACATATGTGGGTAGGAGATGAAGTTTTCTGGGATCAGTTTTCTTGTGAGAACAATAGAAAAGGCCTCTCCCTGCCTTTGGGGAAGCTGGACTCCCGCCATAGATGCCTGAAGCTAGAATTCAGTGTGACTTCTGCCCTTACTTTATTCCCAGGCTAAAGGCTTAAATGCTTGAAGGAAACTAGAAGCTGCCTTCAGACATGTAAAGGAGGAACACTTCAGTCATTATAGCCTTGCTTTTCACCTGCTTCTTTGCTGGGAGGCTCTTTCAGCTATCTTGGTTTGATTCAATGGGTTTGGCCAGAACTTTCCTTTTCTTTGTTTTTTTCTGGTATCGGGAATCGAACTCACAACCTTGCTCTTGCCAGGCAGGTGCTGTGC